ATCAAACTCACCAAAACCAAAGACAAAGAAAGAATCATGGAGAGCAGCATGGGAAAAACAAAAAGTTACCTACAAGGGACAACCAATAAGACTAAGCTCGGATTTCTTGACAGAAACCATGCAGGCGAGAAGACAGTGGGATGGTATATATAAAACACTGAAAGAGAAAAATTTCCAGCCAAGAATTATGTAACCAGCAAAACTGTCCCTCAAATAAGATGGTAAAATTAGTACATTTCCAGATAAGCAGAAATTAATGGAATTTATTAACACCAGACCAACCTTACAAGAGATGCTAAAGGGAGCCCTTTGGACAGAGAAACAACAACAACTGGCCATTAACACACATGATGATATAACCCAGAAACCAACCCAGCTATGGAAGTATCCAAAGTAAATAAGCCTACAGGATTGTAAACAGGGAACCAGAGACACCAACCGACAAATGAAGACAACTACAAACCAAAAAGAGGGAAAAAAAATCTGTGTCGTTATAGAACATCTAGATGGTAGGGAAGTCAAGACAACTACAAGAAAGAACAAACTGTTCTACACTTGGGAAGAAACTATAAATCACAGGGTAACCTCAAAGAAAAATGATAAACCTCTATATCAAAATAAAAAAGAGGACCAGCATAAATATTCAACAAATACTAAAACTGTAGCAATGAAGGAAGTGATAACATGATTCATAAACAAAACGAGCGCAGCATAGAAAATTATACGGAACAAAGAAACCGACACCATGAAAAAGCACATAACAAAAATGACAGCAACAAATTCATATTTGCTGATAATTACATATCTGGCAAGGGACTTACCTCAAAGATTGATGGAAAACTCCAACGCATCAACACCAAAAGAATTAACAATCCAGTTGAAAAATGGGCAGAAGACATGAATAGACACTTCAACAAGGAGGATATTCAGGTGGTCAGCTAATAAATGAAAAGATGCTCACAATCATTGGCCATCAGAGAGATGTAAATCAAAACAACAATAAGATATACCGTCTCACCCCAGCATTGATGGCAAGGTTCAATGAGACAGAAAATAACAAATGCTGGTGGGGATGTGGAGAGATTGGGACTCTCATACACTGCTTGTGTGACTGAAGTGACACTCTGCTGTGGAAAGCAATATGGCGATTCCTTAGAAAGTTGGAATTGGAGATACCATTTGACCCAGCAATCCTATTAGTGGGTGTATATCCTAGAGAGCTGAGAGCCAGGATAGGAACAGATACATGCACACTCATGTTCATCACAGCACTATTTACAATAGCAAAAAGATGGAAACAACCTACATGACCATCAGCAGAAGAGTGGATGACCAAACTATGGTACGTACACATACTGGAATGCTATGCAGCATTAAAGAATAATGTAGAGTCTGCAAAACACCGCATAATATGGATGAACTTGAAGGACATTATGCTGAGTGAAATAAGTCAGTCACAGAGGGATAAATATAGTATTAGTTTGTTGTTGTGGAGGGTCAAGGAAAGGTTTATATATGGAGGGAAACTTTCTTTGTTGGTTGCCAGGGGTGGGTGCAAAAAAAAATGCATTTGACCCATGTCACTTTAGTATTCTGTTTTTCACTGTACATAAATTATATTTCAGTAAAATACGTTTTTTAAAGAAATGTCATCAGTGTCTCTGATCTGTAAATGAGGAAGTTATTATGTTGAAGAATGTCGTATTGTGTATGTTTTCACCACAGTAAAAGTTAAAAAAAAAACCTGTTTTGAACATTGACGATGTATGTCTGGCAGTAACAAACAACGTGCAAGACAAGAACAACACTGACAGTGATGGTTAAGGTTAGGTGTCACCGTGTCTGGGCTATAATTCTAAATGGTGTAGCAGTTATACATTGATATAGTTTGGCTTTATGTAATGATGTCATTTGACAGTTATGTAATGAGGTAGTCATGTTCCATTTTGTGATCTGATGTGAACATCCTCCATTTTTGCGTAATGCTGATTTTCACATAATGGACTTGATCTTTGGAACCTAACCACGTCAATAAGTGAAGAGTGGGTATATAAATCCTTTGCCAAGAAATCCTGAGCCAGATTTGTACACTGCATTCTGACTTAGAGCGATATGGTTCAGATGTTGGCAAAAGCAAGAGTTTGAGTATAATCTTAGTGCTATTAAAAGGCCTTGGGGGGATTTTCTGGGGTTTTTTTTCCTAATAGAACATAGACAGAATTAATCAATATGCAATAGGTACTTATGTGGGCCCTAATGTTGTCTCTATCCCATCTCTGGTGATTAGGTCCTCTGTGGGTCAAGGGAGGTGCACACCAGGTGAAGTGGTAGGGGGAAAGGCAAAACAAAAAGAGACCCTCTGTTTTATAATTTACTGCATCCCTAAGTCACAGAAGTCACTTCATTAAAATGAATTTCATGTGTGCATCTTTGTTCTTTGCCAGCAGCTTACATGGATTACACTTAAGTCTAATTTATAGATAACCCTGTAAACAAAAATCTTCCTGAGGGAGGCTCTCACTATATTCAGAGGCTGAATTATGCATTCAGAATGCTTAATTGTTGTTTATACTCTGTGGTGGTCTTTCCCCTTGTCCCAGTTCCACACTGATTGAGGAGGGAAAATGGAAGCAGGAGGTACTTGCGTGTCCATCAAGCACAATTCTGGGTCCTTCCCTGGTTATCTAAAAGTGAAATCAGATGCTGTTGTGCTGATTCCCTTACACAAACACATCTGCACTTGCTTAGTGTACCATTTGTTTGTTTTAAATGCATTTTATTGAAATATAATTTATGTACAGTGAAATACACAAAACTAAAATGACATGGGTCAATCATTTTTTTTTTTTTTTTTTGCAGCATTCCCTTCCCTCTCCTCCCTCTCCTGGCAATCAACAAAGAAACAAAGTTTCCCTCCATATATAAATCTTTCCTTGACCCTCCACAACAACAAACTAATACCTTATTTGTCCTTCTGTGATTGACTTATTTTACTCAGCATAATGTCCTACAAGTTCATCCGTATTATGCAGTGTTCTGCAGACTCTACATTATTCTTTAGTGCTACATAGCATTCCATTGTGTGTATGTACCATAGTTTGGTAGTCCACTCTTCTGTTGATGGGCATGTAGGTTGTTTCCATCTTTTTGCTATTGTAAATAGTGCTGCATTGAACACGGGTGTGCACATATCTGTTCTTGTCCTGGCTCTCACTTCTTTAGGATATATACCTACTAATGGGATTGCTGGGTCAAATGGTATCTCCAATTCCA